GCTGGAGCAGCCCAGTCCAGAAGCCGTTCCTGGAACCCCCAGATCAAGGTCACGTCGGCCGCAAGAGAAGCCGCGGCTTTTAGGAGAGGCGGTGACACGCTTTGCCTATTTATACGACTGCCGGTGGGCTCGAGCTGTGGTTGACGTGGAAGGAGCAGCTCGCATTTGCGTAGCTATAATTTTAAGATGTCTGCATCAATGAACATTTTGTACGGTTTTCAGGTACAAAGAACCGCTCAATATCTGCGTGCCATGCCCCCAATCTTGTCACCCGTGGCTCCAGTTCCAAGGAAATTCTCAGTTTTCAGACGTGACAAAAACAGATTTCTCAGAAGCTTTATAGATAGAAATCTTTACCAATCTAACCAAGATTCCACATGCATATATTTATATGTTTGGTTGTCTTGTTGCAGAAAACGTTTGAAAAGAAAAATGTTTATAATCTCAATGAAGAAGAAGACTTAACTCACTATGGTCATTCTCTAGCAGACATTGAGAAACTTAATGACATTGTTGATAGTGACAGTGATACTGAAGAAAAAGGAATACTATCAGGTGGGAAAAATTGATAACTGTAGTGGATCATATATAGCATGCAATTGTGATTTAATAAGATCTATGGCATGTCTTGTATATTGTAAATGAAATTTTGAAGTGCCAATACCAATCATTACAGAAGAGTAACTAAATTATAACACGATAGAATTTTATTCATTTTATAAATTGATACTTCCAAAAGTTTCAGTAATCAGTGCCATTTGAATCTGATCTCCAGTTCTGGAAGCTTGTGAGGAGAAAGATTAGTCATGCTCTCCTTCAGTTTTGTTCTTGGGCAAATTATTGACATTTTTTTTTTCCAGGGTGCTAAAGTAACACTAAAATGCCTTTGGGATGTTAGTATGCTGAGTTCTTATGATTCATTTATATCCTGATCAATTCAAATCTTGCATTTCCAGAGGAATTAACAGCTTCTCATTTTGGAGGACTCCTTTATAAGAAAAACCCCGCAGAACAGCAGAATGAAGAAGATAAAAATCCCAAATCACGGAAAGAACTTGTTGAAGAGTTGATAGCAAAATCCAAATGGGAAAAGGTAAACTATACTAAGTTTGAAATGCTTTGAAATTGAATTCAATACATTCTTCTTCTCTACAACAGGCAATGTGTAATCGTTTGTAATTTTCCATGAAGCAACTCCTGCATGAGGGGAATTATTAGGCTCAGTAGCTGCTTTGACAGGCATCTTTATCACTCTCAAATAAGGACTTGGTATCTATGGGTCAGATAAAATTATTATTTTGCCCTGTCGCTTTAACATGGTGCTTTTCAACTGAGTATTGTAGTAGTCAGGTGTAAGCAATGCACAAGTATATGTAAACCAAACTGAAGTAGTTTTTTTTTTAATTTATTAAATACATTGTTCATCTTAGGTCTTAGAAATTCACTTTCTCTTAATCTGTCAGAAGAGATTGAATCCTGCTGTTTGCTATCTGTATTTTCTAAGGCATACACTTTGATGGAACATAAGAAATTGATGTAAGTTCCATCATTAGCTGCCAGTTATTACTAAGTTTTGTATCAGTTTCTTATGGTGTGTTGATTTCTAGGAAATCCAGATAAGCCAGCAGGTTTTGTGGTGAAAGTTTACATGATTGATTGATTTATCAAATTTGTCACCGCCCATCTTGTGAAATGACTCTGGGTGGTTTACAGCAAGATAAAAATTCATTAAAATACAACATAAAAACAATCCTAAAAATAAATAG